TCTTTTAGAAAATACGGGTAAGGGAAGGTAGGTGAGGCATTTTTATATACTTTTCTCCTGTGCTTTGTAAAACATCTGAAAGCACACAAGACTTCTGGTAGAGAGAGTAAAGGCAAGCATTATGTACTTAAATGCTTGAAAGATTTTTTATTTTTATTTTTAAAGATTTTATTTACTTATTTGTCAGAGAGTAAGCGAGCGCACACAAGCAGGGGGAAAGGCAGGAAGACGGAGAAGCAGGCTCCCCAAAGAGCAAGGAGCGCAATGTGGGACTGGATCCCAGAACCCTGGGATCATGACCTGAGCTAAGGCAGACGCTTAACCAACTGAGCCACCCAGGCACCCCGAAAGATTTTTATACTACAATTATGAGGTAAAATAATTTGTTGGGTGTCCCAGGATTAAAGTGACACAGGTAGTTTGCATTTTCCATTTTCTACATATGCTAATTTTTGTTTAAAAAAAAAACACACCAGGTGTTTAAAAGGAAAAGTTCCACTTTAGCAGGACACAGGAACCAATCTTTTAGGGATGACTAATTTAGTGAGTTTTAAAGCCCTAATTAGCACTAATATTTACTGTCAAATTAGTCTTATAAGGACTTTATGCTTTCTAGGTGATTTGCTGATGCTTTATTCCTGTCATGTACCTTTACTACCATCAACTTTGACTGATTTGGGAAGGGATGAAAGGCATTTTCATTTGAGTTACAATGCAAATAATTATTCCTGTCAGTAAAGATTAGAACAGTATAGATTAACAACAGCTAGTGCAACAGCACTTAATGATTTCAGTTGGTTTTGTCTTAAGTACTTCCCATAAATGAAAGCAAGCATGTAAAGCACCAGAAAGGGTAGAGGCTCTTTGAAGAATTTGTGTGGTTCTAAACGTCCCTTAATTTCTTTACAGTCCTTAAACTGAGTACATGATGCCACACACCTGTGAAACTGTTGAAATCTTTTCTTAGAACCAGGGATTACCCTTAGAGCAAGAAAAAATGAATAGGAAAAAAGCCCATTTAAGGAGACACTGACTAGTTGAGGTGTAATCCCAACTTTCTGAGATGAGGCTGCTCTCAGAATTACTAGGTTTCTCATATTTTCATTTGCTTTTCTACTGCTCTTGGACTCCTCAACTGACTGAACTTTTGAGTCCCCTTATGCCAAACTTTGAACAAACAACTGAACCTAAACTAAGATCTTAGAAATACTTAGTAAAGAACAAGAGTCAATAATTTCTCTTATTCTCTCAAAGAAGCTTCTCATACTGGTATTTGAAAATTCATTAATTCCAAAATGGGCATTTAGAATTACAAATTATCAGGGGCGCCTGGGTGGCTCAGTGGGTCAAAGCCTCTGCCTTCGGCTCAGGTCATGATCCCAGGGTCCTGGGATCGAGCCCCGCATCGGGCTCTCTGCTCAGTGGGGAGCCTGCTTCCACCTCTCTCTCTGCCTGCCTCTCAGCCTACTTGTGATGTCTGTCTGTCAAATAAAAAAATTAAAAAAAAAAAAGAATTACAAATTATCATTCTTACTGAAAATACTTAAAAGCTACAATGAAACAAGGATTTACAAGCATCTAAGTTTTGCATGACACAGGAGAAAGACATTCACAGATACCCTCCCTTAGTAAATTATTACCTTTATTCTCAGGTGCTAATTTGCATCTCCTTTTACAGGACAAATTGAGTCTCTGAGAGATAAGTGAGTTGAGACCAAGTTTCTACGTGACACTAAAGGACAGCTCGGTGGAAGCGTGCATCCCAACTAGGATAGACCTGAGGGCCCGGGGAAATTAGCTCCGGCCAGGCCTCTCTCATGGTAGCTACAATCCCTTGAGCAGATTTTGTGTACTTGCGGTCATTTAAAAATATGTCCACGAATTCTTTGACACTTTTATATAAAAGTAGTCTAAGTCTCCTTCCCTTAGTGACTTCTTTCTTTAATATTTTATTTATTTGACAGAGATCACAAGTAGGTAGAGAGAGAGGAGGAAGCAGGCTCCCCACGGAGCAGAGAGCCCGATGTGGGGCTCGATCCCAGGACCCTGGGATCATGACCTGAGCCGAAGGCAGAGGCTTTAACCCACTGAGCCACCCAGGCACCCCTCTTTCTTTTTTTTTTTTTTTATTAAGATTTTAGTTACTTGTCAGAGAAAAGGAGAGCACAAGCAGGGGAGCAGCAGGCAGAGGTAGAGGAAGAAGCAGGCTCCCCGCCAAGCAAGGAGCTCAATGTAGGACTTGACCAGAGGAGCTGGGATCATGACCTGAGCAGAAGGCAGCCGATTAACAACTGAGCCACCCAGGTGTCCCTTTGTGACTTTTTTCTAATAGAATATGGCATGTGGAAGAACACGGACTCCAAGGCTAGGTTGGAAAGGACAATTCAGCAACTGGCTGCTGCAGAATCCTGCCACCATGTTGTGAGAAAAAGCTCAAGCCCCAGAGAGAGCGCATGTATAAACGTTCCAGCCAACAGCTCCAGAAGACCCAGCTGAGAGCCGCCATCAAGCACCAAATATGTAAGCGAGCCATTAAATGACCCTAGACGCAAGCCTTTTACCCATCTGAACGCAGCAGAAACCAGGTATCCCAGCTAGAAGTGGCCTAAAGTGCAAGTTTAGGTGCAAAATACATATTGAGTTAAACCACTGAGTTTTGGGGTGGTTTATCACACAGCAATAGATGACTAATTCCCACTACAAGCCTGAAAAGTAGGTACTGCTATCCCTTTTTGACAGAGGAGTAAACAGGTCCAGGGAAATGAAATGACTGGCTCAGATTTCACACCAAGTGGCAGAACCAGAATATAAGAGCTTCAAGCAATGGGCCTTCTTCATTACACCTGACAGCGAAAGGATTATACCATTATCCTCAATCTTAGGAAGACCCTGATTCCAAAAGCAGCTTGATTTCTAAAATATTAAGATGAGCATGGTGTGATTACCTACCATGTGCCTCTGAATAGGCCTTACAAGAACAAAAACAAAAACAAAAACCAGCAGCTTCACAAAGGTTGTATAAGGCTTTTTACCCACCTTATCCTTTTTAATCTTGATAACAGCCCCTGTTATCAAGTTGGATTATCATCTTTCCAATTTTACAGATTAGAAAACCAAGGCTAAGGATAAAGAACTGGCCTAATTTGCCCCAGTCTGTAGGATGTGGCAGAGCTGGGTTGCAAATGTTTCCCTCTGCCTCTTGCCCGCAGATAGTTAACACATTTTATTTAAAAAAATTTTTTTATTCAATATTACAGACAAAAAGAAAAACGTTTTCTTAATTATCTCGGTTGCCAAGACTTACAGGAAGGGAACTCAGCGATCACTCAATGCCCAATCCCCTTATTCTGTTAGTGAAGCTCAAAGAAAGCAGGCCCCTTCAAAGAAATGTAGACTTCACTACCCTTTAGCGAAAAAAATTGCGTTTCCCTCTACACCCAGGTATCACTTCACACCAACCCCGGGAGGAAGCACGGGACGGAAACGTGGGCTGGGGATATTCCTGCAGACCGGGCTCACAGGTGATCTTCGTCAAACCTTTACAGAGGGTTCCTCCCCAGCCCGGCAGTTACTCTCATTTCTCAGAGTAGGGAAAGTATGTTTGCACTGCTGTGCTCTCATTTGCCAGTCTCGCCAATATGTACTATGCACTTCACATTCGCTGTCTCATTTTCACCCAAATACACTCGTACTTCCCCTTCCCGTGCAGACTATGGAAGATTCCGGTTATGAGCGGGGGAAAAACAAAAAAAAAAAACAAAAAACAAAAAAACCCTTTCAATGACTTGTCAGTCATTTTTAGCTCAATCAAAAGCAATCGTGGCAAATTTGTTAATGCAACAAAACAGAATCACACACACTTAAAGAGGGGCCATTTTAGAAAGGAGAAGAGAGAAAACTCAAGTCAGGGCTTTGCCCAACATCACACCATTAATGATAAAACCTGAGATTCGAGCCCACAAACGCCAGGCTCAAAAGCCCCCAGGCTCGCCTCAGACTGCCACCGCCGAAGCCCCACGTTTCCCGCCGTCGCGAACCGTGCAAACGCAGCAGTCAACGCGCTTCCCAGGTCGAACCCGGACCAGGACCCCGGACCCCAACTTTGGCTGGTACCACCGCCTTCCAGAGACAGCTGCCAGACGCGGACCGCAGGCTCCAGCACCTCCCGCCCCGTTCTGCCCCGCCCCGAAGCGCGCGTGGGAACGCTGCGTCCTTCCCAGGGCTGCCCGGGACGACCGCCTGCGCACACCGGGAAAGGCTTCCGCCGCCGCCGCCCCAGCCCCCTCTCCGCCGCCGCCATCTCCTTCCCGCCTCCGCCTCCCCGCCGCTAGGCGCACGCTGGGGCCGGCGCCCGGGGAGCGCGCCGCAATGTGTCTTTTTTCCGCCCGGCACCGCCGCGGTCACCTCACTTCCGGGCGCGCAGCGGCGAAGGCGGTGCTGGGGCCCGGGAGCGTGGAGGGAGTTATTAAGGGGGAGGGGGTCTGGGAGGAGGGGCTGAGGGCTGGGCCGTGGTTACGGCGGCTGAAGAGAGACAGTCCGAACGGGTGGGGGGGCGAGAGCGAAGGCCGCGCGGAGCAGCCCTCGGACCGGCACCGGCGGCAGGGAGGGGAGCGGCGGCCGAGGCGAAAGGCCGCCGAGCGGCGGAGGCACCGAGTAAGGGCCCAGCGGCAGCGGGAGCCGGGGCGCCTTGCGCCCAGGGCCGCAAGGAGGGCAGGGGCGCGGGCGCGCTGCTCCTGGGGTCGCGTGCGTGAGCGCGAGCGCCGGGGTGCGCGCGGGGGGCGGGCAGGGGCGCGAGGCCCGCGGGGCGGCCGGCGGGCAGCAGGCGGGCGGGCTGGCGGGGCCCGAGCCGCCGGGCCGGGGCGGACCGCGGCGGGCCTGCGCCGGCTCCAGCTCGGAGCGGCTGGGCCGGGGGATTCGGCCTCCCCGCTCCCTCCGGCCCGCCTCCCCTCCGTGAGTACAGTCCCCGCCCTTCCTCCGAAGGAGGCCGCTGGGCTGGGGCCTGCGCGAGAGGCCGGGGGTTGGGGTCGCGGCCCGGGAAAGCCGAGTTTCCGAGCTGGAGCCGGCATTCGCCCTTTCCTTGCCACCGGCGCCCCTGACATGGCCACAGGTGCCGCGGGTCGGGTGAGGGGCGCTCGGGCCCCAGCCCCTGGCCCCTGGATAACAAGGGGCAGCTGGCGGCGTCCATTGGCAAGTGACAGGCACTATACCACAGTCCGACTTCCCGGATCCCCAACCCCAACCAGTCTCCTACCTGCCCCCACTCGGGAAACTTCCCCACTACTGTCTGAACGGTCCTCATGGGTGGCAATGACTAATTTTGGTTTCTTTTTGTCTTAAAGCTGCTTAAAGACTGTGCCCTGATTGGGTACCTTCCACTTAGGCTTTCCTTAACCTTTTTGAGTATTAGAGCACGTTACTAGAAGAGATAAAAAAAAAAAAACAATCATTCTATTTCCAAATGGGTTCTGGTTTTGTTGGGTGAGGCTTTGTTTTTTAAAGGTAGTCATTTTAAGAGATTAAAGAGTTTCGGTGTCTTAAACGGTCAAGACTTCTCAAAATATATTGTTCCCCCTGACAGTTTTGCTGATTGATCTTCCAGGTGCAAAGAATTGTAGACCAAGGAGCCATGGATAGGAGAAGTTTGGGTGAAACAGAAAATGGAGATGCTTTCCTTGACCTGAAGAAGCAACCAGCCTCCAAATCCCCGCATCGCTATACAAAAGTAAGTATTGTTACTAATGAAATAGTGTTTCTTTATAGGTGGGGAGATTAGTAACATTGTGTAGGTATTTCATTAGTGTTATTTAAAGTGGAAGTCTCATTCTGACTATATAGACTAAATATTAACTAGATTTAATAAAGCATTGCTTTGAATTTCTTCTGCAAGTGTGAATATGCAATTTAAACTAGGATTTGCTTCTAATTAGCTTTTGGGTAGAGGAAATATTGGCTCATATGGCATATGAATTTGTGGATCAGCATATGTTAGCACACATGTTCTGTAACAACTCTGTGTAACTGGTATGTTACTGACTTACATGCTCTAGAATAAGGATTCCAGTTCTGGCATGCAAATCACTCAAGGTCCTGTACTTACTGAAGTTGTTGCTTCAGTATCTTGTGGGTGTTTCTGAAGGGGTTGACAGGACTCCTTGAGGTGTGAATTCATTTCTCATTCCTTGAAATGTATTGGGCAGAGTACAAAAAATGTGCTTGGGACTTCTGATGGGAAGAGTCATATTCTAGTTGGTCTCTTATCTCTGTTTCCTAAGTGTGGACCCAATCAGGGGTTCTGATGTGGTTATTGTCCCTGACTTACCAGAATACTGACTGGTTAATATTTGAAGTCAGGCCTTGTTTGTGTACTAGTGCCACTGCTCAGATCTACTTGATAAAGTGTCTAGTGCTATCAGAGCAATATTCATTTTTAGCATTAAAAAAAAAAGATGGCATTTTATTCAGATTTGATCTCCACAAATGTAGTTTTTCTCAAACCTGAGAGTACTTGAATAATGTTTCACAACTTAAATTCACTGTCTAAAAGGTTGACAGGTGAATTCTGAATGGAGAAAAGCTTATTAAATGAAGGGGAACTAATTTGAACTGCTTTCATAAGCTTTTGTGATTTTAGTTCTCTTAGCACTTTTTGAATAAAAGTTCTTACTGGTATTCTGCTTGTAGAGTCCACACAGAGAGACTTTTGTGTCACTTTTATACTGATCAGAGGATGGCATGTATATGTCATCTTTCTGTATAACCATATTTAGCGTAAGTCATTTTGGGGGAAGATAATACTGGTCTTTCTTAGGCTAGAACTTACGTGTGTCTAAAGATTAAGAAGCTCAATATTGTCCATTTTTGATAATCTAGTCTCAGAATTCTGTCATACTTAGATAAATGTGCCTCAAAGAAATGATTAAGAAAAGGATCTTTTAAATTAATGACAGTGGAGCTTAGATTTAATGGTCTTCTCTACCAGATTTAGTTGGAAGTTGGTTTACTGTCCACTCCATTAGAGAAGATTTAGTTAATGGCAATTTTAGAATCATGTTTAGGCAGTGTTTGGGTGGTGCTTTCATACATATGTTTCTTATACTCTAGTAATGTGGTACTTGAGGCAAACTAAGCCTTTCTCTTTGAAGAAAGCTTGAAACCCTGTGTTCTGAGAACTATAATAAATGGTCTGTTGCACAACTAGAATAATACTTGAGCCATCCTACTCCTTATCTCCATATTGAGATTAGACTATTGGCGTAAAAAAAGGCATTTAGTAATGTTTCTGCTGCTTCAAGTTCATGGGCTAGAAAGTTTAGAAGAGAAGGAAATTGTCCTCAGTGATTTTTTTAATAAGTTATGTGCTTTGTGAAAACTGGTAAACATAGGATGTTTACTATAAGATCAAAAAAATACATTCACCAGATGAGAGGGCTTCTTAAACTTTGATCTTTCTTAGTTTAGCATCCATTTGTTTTATGAGATAACATTAATAGTCTGTTCAGAATTCTAGGGTTTTTTTTTTCTATGAGGGTGGAGTAGTCCAGGAGTTTGGCTTCGTGCTTTTCAGGTAACATCGGAGTCCCCTGTGTGTTGTGGCATTCTTTACTCCAGCTTCCTAAATGTTGATATGTTTGGAGATTATCTATGAACCCTTGTGAAGTGTGAGTTCTGGTTGTTAGATCATGAGTGGGCTTCAAAATCTAGCTTTTTAACCTACTTGCATGTGGTGCCCATACTGCTGGTCCACTGACCATACTTTGAGTAGCAAGGCTTTAGTCTTCCTTGGAAAACTTGGTATATGGTCTTGATGTTGTCAAGCAACTCAGATGCATAATTACTCTCTAGGTTTCCATTGGTATCTGTTGTGTTTCCATGAATGTCTCAGGAAGTCAAGTTAGAATCACATTAGATACTTTCAGGCCTACCCCTAGACCTTAGTGATGATTAGTTGGGATGGTTATAAGTGGATTTATCATAGGCACCTGTTATCCTGAGAGTCTGAGCTCTTAATTTAGAAGCCCACTCAGGTCCATTTTGCCAGGCCAAGTTGCTAAGACCAAAAATTCTTTCTGGTGATACTTAAATGTGGCATTTATAAAGAGACCGAATTATGTTGAAGGACTTTTGGAGGCTACGGAGTGGGACCTCAGCGCAAAATCATGGATTGAAAGTGTTTTTAGACAGTGGTTCTCAAAGAGTGGTCCCTAAACTAGCATTTAGTACCGCCTAGTAACCAGTTAGAAATACAAAATCTCAGGTCCCATTTCAGTGGTATTAAATCAGATTTTAGGGGTAGGACCCAGACATCCACATGTATTAAGTCTTTCAGGGAATTTTGACTGATTCAAGCTTGAGGACCATCAGTTTAGAAAACAAGATGAGGTGGTCATGTTTATTAATGGAAAAACTTTGGGACCCACCAGCTTACCTTCATCAGAGGTCCTTGTTTTACCAGTTCTTTTGTAGTACCTGCTATTAGTGATACCATTTACTACTTCAAATACAGAGTAAAAATGCTTTGGACTGTTCCACTATTCAGATCCGTGTTCTTTTTCTTTGAGTGGACAGACTGATTTTAGAGTATACATACTTGGTGCTGTTCCTCCTTTGCTTCTGTATCTTGCCACTGATTACTTATAAAGTATTATCACCTACCAGTTGAGCAGTATATAAAAGCAGGGAGGGACACCTGGGTGGCTCAGAGGATTAAGCCTCTGCCTTTGGCTCAGGTCATAATCTCAGGGTCCTGGGATGGAGCCCTGCATTGGGCTCTCTGCTCAGCGGAGAGCCTGTTTCCACCACCCGCCCTCTGCCTGCCTCTCTGCCTACCTGTGATCTCTCTCTTTGTGTGTCAAATAAAATCTTTAAATAAATAAAAAGCAGGGAATACCCATAACCTTCAGCTTGATACTGAGCAGTGTTAATCATCTACCTTAAATCTACCGGCTAAAAAGTAGGCATTGGATTATCTGAGCTTAGTTTCTTGTGTTGCTTTGATTAGTTATAAATTGGCACCATTTTAATCAGTGTCTACACGGCTCTTCAAAGGAGTCCACCCTAATTTGCAGCTGATGGGCAGTTAGTCGCAGTGATACAGCCATGTTTATGTCTTTGCTTTATTTTTTTTTTAAGATTTGAGAGCGAGAGCATGAGTCGGGGGAGGGGCAGAGGAAGAGGGAGAAGCAATCTCCCCACTGAGTGGGGAGCCCGTGGAGCTTGATCCCAGGACCCTGAGATCGTGACCTGAGCTGAGCCACCCAGGCGCCCCTGTGTCTTTGCTTTAAAATCATTTAAAAAACCATTAAAAAAAATAGACAAGCACCTAAAATGGACTGATTTGAATCCTTCTAGCCTTCTTGGAGAGAATCAGTTGCAAGACTGGAGTCCAGCCTCTGAGAAGAGAGGAAGTAGGATTTAAATCTTGGGTTGAAGTCAGTAGTCAGATGGTCAAGTTTAACTCTACAAGAGATCTCATTTGGTAACTTGATAGATATTTTCCAAAAACTGAGTTGAGAAGTAACCTCTGACAGGTGGCATTTCAGGGACATGTTTTGCTACAAACTTCTTAAGCTAATATAAAAATAAAGATGTCTTTTGGGAAGGCAAAATTACGGTATGAGAAATTATTATACAATCTTAAAGTTTCAGCTGTTCAGAAAATCTAGCTAACTGGAAGTTCTTAGGGCGTGTCAGCTGGCAACACCACCAACACTGTCTCCTGATTATTCTTTCGTACCAGTTCTCATTCTTGGAACAGTCATCTTGAAAAGTTGGAATTCGGGGCTGTTGCCCATGAGTATCCTCTCCTATTTGCTCACGGTGGGAACTTCTAGCTAGATAAAGAACCGGTCATTTAACATAGAAATTTGTGGCTAGGGCCTTTGATTCAGGAAAAGGTGCTATGAATGGAGGCAGGCTTAAGGGAATCCTGCCTAAGGATGAGGCAGTTTGATTCAGAGTTCCCAGTAGTCCACTGAGCAGAGACAAACCAGACACTGAGTGACAGTTGCTGGGAGGTGTCATGCCCCTTCCCTTGTCCTCTCAAGAGGAGCAATGAGGAGAGAAGGATTGGGGTGTTGAGCCCCACTGCCTGGTTTAGGATCCCCTGCTTTACCACTTACTTACCCTGTGCGGTCTTCAGCTATATACTTAGCTTCTCTGATTCTCATCCTTTTCCTCCATAAAATGTGGGTGGAATACCGTCTACTTCATAGGATTTTTATGGGGAATAAATGAGAAAAATGCATGTCAAGTGCTTAGAAAAGTGGCTGGCACACAGGAAGTATGAAAACTGTTTATGATGTACTGACAGGCATACTCAAGGTACCTTCTTTAGATCCCAACTTTAGATCAAGATGCTTATTTTTTAAATGTTACAGTAACCATTTCCATTTTAATATGAAACCGGAAAGTCCTGTTGAATACATAATGCCACCACCCTGAAAATGATTTTAAGTTTCCTTCTAGTATTTACCTACGTAAAGTTTTACATTGTTTTAATCAGTTGTATGAACACCTTTAGAAGCCAAAGTTTATTTTTATTGTGTTGGCCAGATCAACAGAGAAAACAGACTTTTCTGGGTTTTTTTCCCCCATCCCCTTAGTTTCCCTCCATTTCCTTAGTTTCAGATCTTTCAGTAGAAGAAAGTCTTTGCATCAGATCAGCCACCATTAGATGCTTAGATGAATCCAGGTGCGGAGTCCTGCTTAACAGCTCTGCAGGAC